AAACTATCTAAATATCTGAATGTCTTAAATCTCACACCAATTATGTTATTCAAATTATATTACAAACGCTATTCAGCATTATAACTTTTTTTTCTAGCACTACAGCATATTAATAAGGGGTAGGATTCTAAAAAAGTTGAAATTAATTTCTAACGTTTTGAAAAATAGTTCTAATTTTAGCATACTTCTAGAATAAATTATCTAATATTAACCTTGCCCTCTTAGTAATCTGGCATTTTAAAGTGATTTACCTTTCTTTTGGCAGGTTGAAAGACCTTTGAATTCACATTCAACTTAAAATAGCAGTTTTTTATGAAAAACTCCCAACAGCTACACTAAAGCCTCGTTCATGCTAAACGATTCTAAAATGCAAAGCTTAATTTATAAAAAGAAGCTATTTATTATACTGTTCATCTTACCTTGCAGTTCAAATATTATACTGTTAATCTTACCTTGCAGTTCAAAAAACTATCTTTCTAATTTTAAATATGTGCATACATAATTTTTTTTTCTAATCGACGTACCATAACAAATAGACTTTGTTAATCCGAATTTCCAAGCTGATCGCATGGAGTAAAAAACAGAACTTATCAGGCAGAGAAAAATGAAGGCGGTAGTAAAACTACATGTCACACTAAACTTCTTAATTTTAAGTAATCGAATTTAATAAATTCTTTTACGGACAGTGAGATAAGAACTGCCCCCATTTATTTTTGACAAAAATTTAATATTTTCTTTCTTATTTTCAGTTCTTTAAGGTTAGTGCTTTTGCTTTAAACTCCGGACTTAAATTTTTCCACATCCTTGCTGCTAACCGTGAATTTAACCATTCCAGTTATTAATTAGCCTCTTTAAAGATCCTATTTGTTTTGATAATCGCTGGGGCATTTAGTTTGTCTAAAGTAAGAACTCCCCATGTCATTCGTTTGAACGATTTCAAGTAGGGGTGTGGGCGAGAGAAAGGGAGTTTTTTTTCTTCTTCCTTCTACTGTGTTAGACTTATAGTGAAGAAAAGCTACCCTCCCTGAAATGCGCGATTGTTTCCATAGCAGCAGGCGGCCACTCAGACTTTGAGCTGGGGGAGTTTTTACTTTAGAGAAACTATACATTCCCTGCCAGCGCGATCTTGGCTGCATCGAAATAACTAGACGCGGATTAAAATTTAGATTTAAGGAACAAGATTCTCCGTTATCAAGAAATTCACCAATTGCTACATATTGTAATCTTGGGCTAAAACTAATATCGACCATACCATAATTATTTACGACCCAGTCACATCAGCTCATCTCGATGCCCTGGAATCTTGTTTTATTCTTATGAATGCAGATTCCCTTGTCAAAGACATAAGTTCCTCACCACTTCTCCTCTCCTAAGTGCATTTTATTCAGATTTGCCTTTCTCGACAAATGTTTTTTCTTGTTGTGGTTTTTCATTGGCAACTTCACGTTCTAAATTTCAAATCACTTATATTTCTTCTTATTCATGTCAAACAAGTCTTGAAAATGGGCATCTGCTTTAGAGCACTTAAAACATGTTGTATATTTTTGAAGCGAATGAAGTTTTTAATAAAATAGTGTTTGATAAGCGTATACTCCAGGGAAAGGAGTTAGTACTAAAAAAAAAAAAGAGAATACGATGATTAATAACTTTTTTCATAGGATAATTAATTTCGTATTTTTATTTACATTATAGAAAGATTTAATTTTATAATGTAATACAGTCAGACCTCGATATAAGGTCACTTTTCCAAAGTCCCGGCTCACTGAATAGGAATTCTTTGTTACAGATTATAGGATATATGGTCAAGTTTTAAAAATCGTTACCGCTTATAAGGTCATTTTTATCTGAGGCGAGGGAAGCTCTTTTTTAACAAAATCCTATTTAGCTTCCTTACAAGGCAATTACCCCTCTCAAGTTCTAGGAAAATGTTGCAGCCAACAAACAAACAACAATTTCTGAAATTGTTTCAAAAGTTGTTGACAGTGATCCTGAGACCGTAACCCAAGTGGAAGCCTTCAATGCAATAAATGTCAAACGAAATTTTTTTACAAACCATGAGGGAGCTGAGGAACATTTTGAGAAGTTACAAAATCTAGAAAACATTGTTCGAAAAATGAAACCAAAAACGAGATAGACCTGCATAAATGATTATTTTAAATAAGGTAAGATGTAAAAAAAAAAAAAAGAAAAAGAATACGATGATTAATAACACACTTTGAGGAAATTTGTAAACAGTGTTATTTTAAATAAAAAAAAATCTAACTTTCTCTAATTCTGTTAAAATCATATTTAATTTATGGCCGTCTATATTGAACTAGATAAGATATTTTAATTTTTAAAAAGTTATAATGTGTACTATTTACGTGCTTAGTTACGAACTGCTAATGACTCTGTTAAAGGTCACTTTTGCAAAGTCCCTTAGGGTGACCTTATATCGAGGTCTGACCTATGGTCTGACTGTATAGATAATAGACAACTTTTTCACGAAAATGTAGGTTTTTTTACAGTAATTTCAAAAAGTAGGTTTAACATCAAAATTATAGAATGTAATTGAATGATCACTTGTAATTTAATATGTACTTTTATAACTTATTATTTTCTATACCAAAATATGGAGTTTTTGACTATTGTCTAAACAGGATTTGAATTGAGAATTAAAACTATCAATTTGAAGGTTCCTCCAGTTCAGTATAAGCACATGTGGAACAGCAAGCATTTCATTAAACATGTAAAATAATTGTCACTTTCATACACTACAGCATGTAGGAATGTATTGCGGTTGAATGAATTGTGAAAACATTGAATAGAACACAATGTAAAAACCATACTTTTTGTCTTTTTAGGAAGGAAAAAAAATTAAAAAAGCATCTTTAAGTACTTTAACACAACACTCTCAGCAGATAAAAGGTTTAACCTGAGAATAGTCGCGGAGCTTAGTGAATTCTCAGATGTTCCTAATAACGAATCTCAAAAACTTTTGAGAAGGCAGATAAAAGGTTTATCACCAAATAGGCAATAATGGCCATTGTCATTGAGATAACATTTTCTTTGTTAGGATTTGAGAAAATGATGCAGGGATGAGAGTAGTCAGAAAGTTAAAAAGAGGAAATCCAAAAAACAATAAAGAAAAAAAAATATATATATAAACAAAAATTTGGCAAAAAAAGTGCGATTTTTAAACTTGTAAACCATGTGAATATAAATCCCGATATGAAACTCTACATCGAATTTAAAAAATGCGAAAATACAAATCATGATTTTTTAATTTTTTGATCACGATGCATAATTTTTAACTCGCGCGATATCACAATCACAAAAACGAATCACGATATTGGATTTTAAGCTCGGGTGAACACGAATTGCTACATAGGGCTTCAAAAGCTCGTAAATACAAATCGCGATATTGATTTTTTAAATCTCGTAAGTAAGNTTAAATCGCGCGATATTACAACCACAAAAACGAATCACGATATTGGATTTAAAGCTCACGTGAATACGAATTGCTACATAGGGCTTTAAAAGCTCGTAAATACAAATCGCTCTATTGATTTTTTAAATCTCGTAAGTAAGAATCGCAACGTTCAACTTTTAAACCAGGTAAATACGAAAATCGAGATTTTAAAAATGCATAAATACAAATAACGATATTGGATTTTTAAATGTCGTAAATAAGAATCATAATATACGAAATTTAAATAGCGTAAATAAGAATCGCTATGTGCAACTTTTAAATCAGGTAAATACGAAAATCGATGATTGATATTAAAATCGCGTGAATAAAAATCGAGATCTGAATTACGAAAATACGAGCTATACAGTCGACGGATAAAAAATACGGAAAATCTTATTTTCTGTGCGTGCAATCGGAGAAAATAGCTAAAATAAGTAAAAATGCGGAAGGGTTAGCAGCTAGGGCGTAGATTGAATTTTCTGTTTATCTTTGAAAATCGTAAATAAATATAATTATTTTACTTCAATGACTGAATTTAAAAAAAAACCGGATATTTATTTAAAAAAACGAAACTTTTAGAGAATCGGAGTTTTTGATAAAAAGGCTGAAATTCGAGAGAAAAAAAAATCTCATCCCTGTATAAAGGTCAACCAGTTTTATCCCAAGGAAATGATTTTTAGAGAAACTTCAGAGGGAGGAAAAGGGACTTCAACTATTTCCCTCCGCGGAAAATTAAATTCCTCATAAAACATTTTAACTTGGGCAAAAAAAAATTTCAGCGGAAATTAGCGGGAAAAATCTGAAAAAAAGCGGAAATCCGCGAAAGAATCTCATCCCTGATGATGTGATAAGATTTTTCTTCAGCAAAAAATACATAAAGAGATGATTGCACAAAGCAATTTTTAAAAACAATAGTCATAATAAAAGTTAGCAATAAAAATGAGTATTCAGTCTTGTAATAATCCATTACTCAAAATTTATAACAAGACTGCTTAGCAGTTAAGCAGGGGTGATTGTGAGCCCAAGTCAAAATTCCGGAAAATTTCTCGAGTAAAAAAAAGTTTTTTCCTTTTCCTCATTATTTCTTAGTTTACTTAAAATATATTTAAAATTTTACATACTTATGATGACCTGGAGAAGTAATTGAAATTTACAAATATGTATTTCTTTTTTGAGTTTATGATTATAATAACTATTTACTGATAGAAAATGAATATTTATCTTGAATATAAGCTTATAAAGTAACTTTCCGGTTCTCCCTTACAAACAAATAAAATCAACTATGTTTTTAAGTTCCACCTTTGAAAATTTGACTTCAGGAAACTTTTGCGATCTAAGATTTTTTGAAACGTCTGAACCTTCGATCTCCAGAAACTTCCGGATCAGGGTTAGCGAAAAATCCGGAATTTTTCCGGAGCACAATCAGCTCTGTGTAGGGAACTAATCCCATTTAACAAAAAAAAAGTTTAAAAATTTTTTTTTCTCTCTTTTTGAGCGAGACAATTTTTTAAGTGTAAAATGCAATAAAATAGAAAGAAACAGACCATGATTTTAATTCAAACTATTTAATGAATTCATACAGATTCCTGTAGAAAATATAAAATTTTTAAAATTAGAATAAATATGTTAATGATTGTAGCATTTTATTATTATTTTAGGCACAAAACATAAGTGAAATGTGTTTTTCATTTCTTAATGAAAAGAATATTACACAATGAGCAATAACTGACGAAATACTATATACATACATCTATTTACACATTTTTACATTTAAACATATATACAACCTCCAGTTAAGGTAACAAATTTTTTAGACGGAATGTCAAAGATAACTAGCAAAAGGCAAATTAGTCAACATAATCAAGACAGACAACAAGGTAAAAAAAAAAGAGACTTATTTTCATTAAGGTTTTTTTGGTCGATAACCATTCAATATTTTGAAAATATTAGTTCGATTTTATAATATATAATCTAGAATAAATAAACTATTATTCTGTTGGCTATGTGCTTTCTTTTTAAAATGATTATAAAATTATCCAGAATACATAGATAAAACTGAGATAATCAAAATCTTAGTTGCCGAGAGCTGCAACAATCTAAAAATACTGTATAAGTCAAATAATGTGTATTTCAGTATTTGGCATAATTTTAATTTATTCACTCTCCCTATTTATTCATCAGCTAGTCACCTGCTGAGACTGTGAGATCTTTCTTGATTTTCCGAACTCTTTTCAAGCTTGTGCAATTTCTGTTCAGGCTCAAGTTTATCATAAAAGGGATGAGCTAACGCTTCTTCGAGAGTGATTCGCTGGGAAGGCTCATATTCTAACATTCTAGAAACTAACTCATAAAGTAGTCTATGCTCTTCATCATCAACGTGTATATATCTCTGAAAAATAAAATGTCATTTTACTGTCAAGAATTTTTTTTATTACAAGACAAAAGAAGCAAATAAGAATAAACAGAACTAGATATTCCCCAGAAATGGCTTGAAGCTTGTCCCGTTTCAAGTGGACAGGTAGCAGCCTGTCTGAAATAAGAGAAGTCTGTAAGCAATGCTGGCCACATTGCTACAAGCATTGTTAAAAATTGAAATTGTGTAGCCTTAACTTTCACGAGCCCCCGGTCCCCAACAGCCTGTAGTAGGAATGCTTTACTCTTTTTAGAACTAGAGATGTAAGACCATTGGACCGAATATCCAGCCAAATGTTTTCCGATATTTAACGAAAACATGAAGTAATATATTGTATTCTAAATAAGTTCCCTTAGTTTATAAAAATTTTATTAATGTCATGCCTAAACCACATTAGATTTTAATAATTAACAAGATTATATTAAATAAATTTTTGAATTCAGTAAAAAAAAAAAAAAAGAGAGACAGAGAGAGAGAGACAGAGGTTTATGTTAAGAACAGTATTTTGATATGAACAAAAATGAAAGTCGTTCAGCATTTTAAAATAATAAAATTTTGAAACAATGTTAGTAAAAATCCAATATTTTTTCTCTCGTTTATCAATCAATATTCTAATGAAATGTATAAATACATTAAGGATTAATATGCATTAATTACTATACAAAACTGAATCCCCCCCCCCCGATGCAAACCATGCTTATGAGAAAAAAAGGGGTGATTTTTTTTCTTTTCTTTTGCAGCATTAATACCCATTTTTATTCTGAATTTATTTATCAACTTACATCAAACTTTTTTTTAATTAAAAGTAAGGTTTTGAAAAGATAAAGTAACTAGCATCTATTATCAATTAACTCAGATTTTCCAGGTAAAGCATAAGTATCAATAGAAAAAAAATAACTGTATTCCCATGTCATAAATTTCAGATAAACCAAAAGGCATTAACAACTACCCATATTTTTCACAATGTCCAACATCCTCACAAGAGAAGATAATTTCCAAGAAGGGGCACAAACTATAGCATATTATTTATAATTCAGAGTCAAAATTAACAGGCTTATGCTAGAGCAATAAAATTGTTTTTTAGAAATTACTTAAAAGCTCTTGGTTAACTTCCAAGAGCTTATGAATTTTTCTACTCCCTAAACAATTCTAAAAACAAATCCTTCCACCTCACAAGCTATTTTGAAATTTAATTTCCCCCTACAAAGAAAAAACTCAAATCTTAAATGCTGTGAGCAAAACTTTTAAGTGATTCAAAGGCAGGATGATAAAAAAAAAACAATTAGGGTTATTTCTAATTTACTTAGAACATTGATTCCAATTCATCAAGTTATAATGAAGTATAAAGCTTCAGTGCTGCATATTTTTCAAAAAAAATTTTTTTTTTTAAAGTTTATTTATTAGCAAATTCATGCATTATTTTATTAATATTATACTCCTATAAGAATTTATTATATACATCTTAAAATTGTGCTAATTTTAATTCATTAAATGTTAGCTGAATATATTTCTGTGTTCTTCTAATTACTGATGGCTAGTTTGGAAAGTTGGCACCTATGAACAAGTAAGAATGAAACGAGAGAGATTTTCTTATATTCTTTTAAACTTAAACCTTAATTCAGAAAGATTTAACAAACACCAAAATAGAAAATTAACTTCTTTACAAAACTCTTACATGCTTTTTTTAAGCGACAGGGAAGATTCAATAACAAATCTATTGACAAGATAAAAAGAAAAAAAATTAATATCTTAAGTTATTTTACAAAACATAAAATACGAACCTTCAAAGATTTGCAGTTTTCTCTAACATAACGACCTGCGGAGCTCTTATGATCCCAATCTAATCTGCCATGATAGAAATACTTAGTTCTGAAATATAAAAAATATTACTTTTAACACTATGTGAAATATAAGGGTTTCGACAGTGCATAATGAACGCAATAAAATTAAACAGATCTATAAACTACACAAAAAGTAAATAGAAATGAATAAACTCTAAGCACAGATAAATTATAATTAATATATCTGTGCTTATAATTTACAGTCATTTGGTCAAATTTTTCTTATTTAAATTCACTGAGTGACAAAATATGAAGTTGAAGCTTTAGACATCTCTCTTTTACAAAAAATTTTTCTCCTGTGATACAAATAGCTTAGTGATGGGTTAATTAATTTTACTATTTTTATTTGTTAAGAATTAAATACTTTAGTGATAAATTAAGAATAATATTTAAACGAAAAATATTAACGGACATAGCATAACTCAGTTCATTGAGCAAGAAATAAGCCAGATGATATTAAATTGAAGACTAAATCGAAAGAGTAAAATTAATTGGGGAAAAAAAAAATATTACAGGGTGCGTAGCCAAATCTTTGAATCGAAAATAAGCACTTTTTAAAAACTTTTCAAGCACTTCACAAAAATTTTCAAGCACTCAAAAAATTCATATTCAATCAATGATATTATTGAAAAACAAAAACTTTTTATAAACAGTTTTAGCGTTAAAAGAAAAAAACCAAAAAGAAACGGGCGTAAATCGAAACAATCAGTACTTTCCCACATCACTGAGTGAATTCAACTTGACCCTGAACTCAGAACAAAAGTACCCTTACCCCCTACGTCAAAAAAAGTATTAGAAGTAAAATAAACAAGAACAAAACTAAAATAAATTAAAAAGAAAAAATTTCATAAGGATCTGATATTCTCTATCCGAATTGGAGCACTCGGGTTTCGGTTTCAAGTGTGCGCGCATGCGCAAGTCATAACGTGGGTACGAAATGAAGTTCGCGTGAATGATTACGTAGCAAACTCCCCATTTTTCGTGAAATGCATGGGATCCACCAGATATCACTGAAGGGAAAAAAATTATTCAAAAAAAAAGCACTTTTTAGAAACGCCAGCTGAAAAAAGCACCTTTAAAAGCTTTTAAAATCCCCAAAAAAGCACCTTTAAGCACTTTTTACAAACGCTACGCACCCTGTATTACTCAAGTCCTTAAAGTTACGAAAAAATTTGATGATTCCACTGCATACAATGAAAAATTTTATGCTGGTATGCAAACTAATTAATGCAATAAGGATAAATGAGGAAAAAAAACTTACTTAGTTTTGCGACACATTCTATATGGTAGAGGACCCAAAATTCTCTCCATCATTGCAAGATGTTCCCGATTATCATGAGTCTACATAAAAAAGATAGTGCAAATAATTTTTTTTTTCTACTGATCATGACTAAAAACACTATGAAAAGAATTAAGAATTTCATACCTGGAAAAGTGTTATTCCCATTAGTAATTCGAACAGAATACAACCAATACTCCAGACATCACAAGGTTGAGACCAACCCAATTCTACCAATAAAAAGTTTCAAATTAAGATTAAGAAGAAAGAAATTAGAATATTGCAACGTGCATTTACAAGGTATGAACAATACAGGCATATTAACATCTTAAAATAATCAGCACTCATTACAAAAATTCATTTTCCATTTAATATCAACGATCAATAAATAAAGTAAGTTTGACACATATCTTTGCTAAAGATAAGTGTCAAACTTATTTGAAAATGTCTAATAAGCACCCTTAAAAACATTTAAGATCAAAAAAAATAAATAAAAAGAAAATACTTTATTGATTTGTTTAAAAAGAATAAAATTAACTTAAGAAACACTATGTAAAATAAGGAAATAAAACACTTAAGAGATTAAATTAAGCAGAAAATTAAAATACCAGTATCTCTAATTTTTAAATTTTCTTGGGAACAGAGAAAAATCAAGATTCTTTTAAGTCACAACAAATATTACATTTCTGTGAACATAAAACTAGCAACTGCATATCAGTATAATAACAAAAACATTATTTATGAAAAGTTTTTCAAGTTTCTTGATAATTGTAGATGACTAAAACATAGATTTCAACTACTACAGATTCTCCTCTATTTCAGAAAATAGTTTCTCTAGTGGTAACCCCTCAGGGGGAATGTATTTACATATTAATAAATTTAAATTAAATTTATCACTTAACACAAATAATTTAAACAGAAATAGTTATACAGACAGACATGTGACTCAATTCAAATGAAAATGCTGAGATGGGAAAAAGATGTCCATTTGTCACCATATTTTTAGAAATTAATGCAGAATTACACAAAAATACACTGGAAAGCACCTACACTGCATACATTATAAATACAAACATATTGCATGTCAGTATATTTCAGTGTTTCCCAAACTTATGATTTGTGTACCCTTTCTAAATTTTTCGTAACGCTGAGGAGTACCACTAAAAAAAATGAATGAATTTTTTACAATAAAAAAATTGCACAAAAGTTAAAAATCACAACCGGCTGTTGACTAATTATTAACTGTTAACTCTGCAAAAAATAGCCAATAGAAAAATACGTAATTGTAAATTTTCACGACCAGCTTTGTTTTTAAGTAAAATTTTTTTGAAACTTTTATTTGTTGCAAGATATTTTGCATAAGAATGCGTAATATCCTGTTCGTGTAACTATGCGTGTAAACTGTTCCTGTACCCCTGGGGGTACGCATACCATACTTTGGGAAACACTGGCATAGATAAATGTTTAAGTTCTCAAGTTCTAATAGATTTTTTTTGTGGCGGTATCAAAATTTTTTGTTTCAGTTCATCATCAATGAAAAAAATAATTTGCAACTTCAAATCATTAGTCTCTGGTTTTAACCAAACACACTCTGAGCTATTATTGAATCAAATGAACTAAACATAGATTAAAATTAAAGTAGACGGTAGAATGGAAAGATATATTACCTAATATAACTTCAGGAGCTCGATAGTGACGAGTGGACACAATAGTACTATGATGTTCATGATCAAAGGTGGCAGATCCAAAATCAATGAGACGAATATTAGTATCCAATACTTTTCTGACACTTCTCTTCTAAAAGCAAGGGGGGGGATTTGTTATTTTAAGATTTACTGATATATTTTTGTTATTCTTAAAATATACATTTGTTTTGGACAAAATTAGGTTTGATAGAATTAAACTAATAAAAATGAATTTGTCTTACCTTTTTTGGGTTCATAACCAATTCAAATTCAGAGTTTTCAAATAAGATGTTTTCAGGCTTTAAATCAGTATGAGTTAATTTGTGATCATGCAAAACTACATAAGACAAAAAAAAATTATTTATTAATTTTGTGACCAACACTTAAAAGAGTACAAGATAAATGATAATATTTATAAAAAAAATTATTTAAAGAAAAAGCACTAATATGAACGCAAGACAAATACAACTGAACTTCCAGCCATCATTTCGGACCCTACTGTTTTCTCGTTTTGTTTTAACAGTCTCGTCACAAATGCAATTCTTATAATACTAATAATACCTGTTTAGATTGTTTTAGATCTTACAGACATGTGATTGCTGAAAGAAGAAATTAACTGAAACATTTTTTTTAGTACTCTTGCTTTCGGTATATAGAGAATAAATGGTAAACTACAGAAGAGTGGAACTCAGAGAGAATTGTCAGAATATAAATTACTGATTTGCAGCATTTCGTGAATTAGAAAAATATTTATATGCCTGTGCTAAGGAAGAAAATGTAAATAAGCTACAATTTGGGAAAAATGCCTTAATCACGTTTGATGTTAATTCATCAGTCGATAAAAATAGTAATACTGGTGGTGCTGTCAGTTCAAGCTTTCTGTAACGAATGTTGAATCCAAAATTTCCAATAATTTTAAACTAGTAACTGTGTTCTATTCAAATTTGCCTTGAATAGTAAAATTTTCTGCATTAAATACATAATTTTTAAATTAGAATTCTTTAAACTGATTATTAATTAATTTATTTTCAAATCCAGTAGTTCCTTATTACTTTTCATTCATAATCAAGTTATTATTTGATATTTTAAATTGACCGGCATTCATTGCTTTTCTGCATATTTTTCAAAATGGATCTTTCGAATGGTGAAACATTCGATCCAGATTCTAATGCATATAGTAGTTATAGAACATTAATTGAGCTCACTTAATCTTATCCTTTTTAGTTACATATTTATGCCAGATATATGCTGGCAGTATCATCAAAATGAATTTTTATATGCAGCATGCATTAAATAATTTTACTAACTATTATATATATATATATATATATATATATGTTTTTATAAACAAAGTAAATGATTAAAAAGTTTAAAGGGCAGAGAATAAGTTCCAAAAATTTTAATCCAACTAATTTCGCCAAAACAATTCTAAATAAAACTAACTACAGTTAAAATAGCAGTCTAAACAGTATTTTTTCTTATTATGATTATTTTAAACAAAAAATGCTCTTTCTAACACTTAAATGAATCAATCACAAAATCGTCTCACAGAGAAAAACATTTCGCAATATTATGCAGAAAATAAAAATTTAATAATCGATTCAATGATTATCAGGACACAAACCGTTAGATACAGACTATAATTATATTTTAAATTTTTTCACAAAATGGTATCTATGAATCCATGGACAAATGACCATAGGGATACCTTGAATACATAAATAGAAAAATAGAAAATAAATACACAAGTGGGCGACCTTTGTGCTAAAATACAAACTAAGGTAGACAACATTAAAGAGCACAAAAATATTATTAAAAGCAGACAACTGTTTCGGATGCTCAAAGGGCAACCTTCATCAGTGCAACTGTTGCACTGATGAAGGTTGCCCTTTGAGCATCCGAAACAGTTGTCTGCTTTTAATAATATTTTTGTGCTCTTTAACGTTGTCTACCTTAGAAAAATATATTCAACTTACATTTTACAGAATAGCAGAGCTGGTAACTCATGTGTCTCACTTGTTCTAATGGGTATGGAGCATAATTGTTGTGTTTCTGCAAAAACAACTGCATGTAAATATATATTTAACTGAAAACTTTTGGAAATATTATTTAAAAATTTACTCACCAGAAAGTCAAAGACACTCTTCCCTAGCAATTCAAATACAATACAAACGTGACCATGATAATCAAACCAGTCCAACATCTTCACACATAAACTAAAAGAAAGTGAAAAAAATAATTAAACACAACCTAAATTTAACTCATTTAACAAAGAAAAAATCATTTAATATGTTGATCAGCAAGACACGTTTAATTTATTTTGCACATTTGGGCTATCAAAAGAGTTTAATATTTTTGTTTAATTGTGATATTTAAAAACCTGGACACAAAATATATGGAAGTGTGTAAATATAACTAATTTTTAATATATTTATTTTTGAGATTTTAAATACACTGTAAGTAAGCTTTTTAACACTACCAAAATAATACAATGAAAGTACTACCATAGCCTCTTTTTTTTTTACAACTGAATTTGAAAGTGAAAGTAATAAGTATAATACAAAATTAACTCTTCTTGCACAATTTCTTTACTTACATCAAAAATTACATTCTTTTCTATTTAATCTATATCTATTTAATAAAGTTAATTAAATTATCATATATATTAACAGTTAATCAAGCAACTTACTGTTTGCACTCTGGGTCAATATCAGCTAACTTAACCAAAACATTTATTTCCAGTTTAGCAGCCTCCCTATATTTTTCAACATTTTTTATAATTTTAACAGCAGCTTTTTTATCACCATCTTCACTGAAAAATATAAGGCATTTAATTAGACCTCACAAAATATGCTAAGAAACACACATACACTACTATTGCAAACACTACAATAAAGATACAAAAGCCACAATACTTAAATATTTTATTTAAAAAAAATTATATCATTGTCTTAGCAAAAAAGTTATCCAACACGAAGAACATTTTTTAAAAAGGTCTATATTAGAAAATTAGGCACATAGAAGTATGAGTCACAGTACTGTGTCCCGAGTGCCATACAATTGGATGAGAGCACCATATAACAAAATTGTTTTTGATGAAAAGCTACAAGTGTACTTTAAGATCTTATTGATTTAGCATCAGTCTCAACTTATTTTTTTTTAGTAATTGCTATTACATAAAACAGATAAAATTGCAAACAAGATAAAGAAATTAAAATGACTGCATCGAGCTTTAATCTGTAACTGGAATCTATATGCTGCAAGCTGTTGAATCTGTTTTTATTTATCCACAATTATCAGTAAAGAGACAGAGGAAATTTTAAATAAGAATTATATTAACTAAAAATTATATCCACTCATTGCCATTCATTTCTTTTTGAAAGATCTTATAAACATTCATTAAGCATAATTATATAAATTACAACCACAATAACGAGTTACATATAGATATAGAGTAGAGGTAATGCGATACGGCCTGTAGAAATAAACTTGTGCTCTTGGTAAATTGTAATTTCTCACTGATAATTTTAAATGCACATCTGTTTAACATTTCAATTAACTTGATGTATTTATAAATATATTTTTAACTTTGTTTATACTCTGCAATATGTATTTCATACGCATATGTGCATTTTAAGATAGGGATCTCAAAAGATTTCACTTTTTTTTTTCTTATTTCTTTTGATACATCATTAAAGAAAGAAAAATTTCCAGCAAGAAAAGAAATATTACCTGTTCAGATCAACAACTTTAACAACTTTCCCAAATGTTCCTTCTCCAAGTGTTGCAATAATTTTATCTGAAATGTTAAAACAGCCATATAAGACATGGATCATAAAGGTATTTATTTCATAAACACTGAAAGAAGAAGAAAGGTTATTAATTGGAAAAGAATGAAAAAAATTTAGAATTTTATAGACAAAAAGAAACATAAGTTTTGACTTTTTCTATGTGATGCTAGGGGTCTTTAAATATTAAAATAGAACATTTTAAAACGAAATAAGAAACATACTCTTCCTTCATAAACAGAAAGTATAAGTAAACACAAGATTTAATTTTTGATTGTGCTATAATTATAAACTATGACTTTCACTTAAAAATACAAGTTTCAAATTGAGAATGNAAAAAAAAAAAAAAAAAAAAAAAAAAAAAAAAAAAAAAAAAAAAAAGATTATAAATTAAACATTAAAGACTATAAACACATCAAATAAAATATATATAAATATTTGGAGGGTTAAAAAATATTTTTTTAACTATAGTTCATAAGCAAGAGTAAATTAATAGATCTTGAAAAAGAGCAGATAAAACAACAATGATATTTTTTTTTTTTTTTAAATAAGTCCTACTAAGAACCAAAACAATTTTTAAACAGACCCCTGAGCACAGTTTGAATTTCAATAGTTTAAATTAAGTAACAAAATATTAACATAAATGCAAAAAAAAGTTATGTTTATAAAGAAATGTTTTCTAAAAGTATATTGAATGAAAATAAAATAGAAAGATTAAAAGTCTAATGCTACAGATAAAAAAATTTTGTAAATTCAATCATTAGTATTAATTTGAAATTCTAAGGTTAATTTTTATTTTAATAAAGAAAATTACTTGTATAAAAGTAATAGTTAAAAATAATTTTTGTATTTTGAAGCTCACTGTAAAATTAAATAAAAATCAATCCGAAATAATTTAACCTAAGCATTCTAAAAGAGAAAGTCTACACAAATCGAAGAGCTTATGAATACAGCACTGGAAACTAAAAAAAAAATATTTTACGATAGTTCAGTACATCGTTCCTGAAGTATGTCCCCGGTCCTATATACTAGATGTCCATCCTCATCATCTTCCACACTTGGTTGACGTGAGCCTGACTCGTCAGCTTGTGCTGGGGACTGTCAATTCACAAGTCGCCAAAACAGATCGCCAACAAGCATTTTGATCCACAAAGAAGATCCGACAGGGGCAATAATAAGACAACCGGTCAGGTGCAGAGTAGTAGCAAAGCAGTTTTCAGAAAAAGACCAACCGTCAGGAATTCAAGGCAGCAGCATACAGCCAATACAGAGACGACGGCCAAGTCCATAGCAAATAACACAAATAGGAGGCAGGGTGTGTGAACAATCAGTTCAATAGTGAACATATACAAAATTTTGAAATATGTAAATAATAGTCATCTATATACATACATTTGCATCAAAGCAGACTTTGTTTTTGGATAATTTTAAAAGATAAATACAGTTTTTAATAAAGAATTAAATAAAGTCTGCATTAATGAGCAAATATATACATTTTATATGAAAATGCAAACAAATAATTACAAAAAAGCTGTACATTTATACTTTAAGTATTAATTTAAAAGAGTTCATTTAATGCAATTGTAATCAAAGTTAAATAACTTAAATCTAGGTTAATAAATGTACAGCATAATAAATCAATAAAAAAATTAATTAAATATAAGATTAAAAAATTGTCTCAAACAAAATAGTAATGGTTAAAAAAGGTCAAAATGTAACTCAAACTTTTAGATTAATTTAATATTAAAACTTGAAATTAAATTTAAAATTGTTAATTGAATCAAATAAAAGTGAAATCATTTACAAGTTTGTCTGAAGATGGTCTATCACATGAATTCTCATCACCCATTTGGTTAACTGAAGCATTCAAATAGCTTGTATCACTATCTTCAACTCTGAGTCTAGATGAAAATCCACGGAGGAAACTTGTGCAGGAATGCATACTGCATTTGTCAGACAAACTTTCTAGTAAAGTAGGTTTCTTTGTCCCCATTGTATTATATCACCGTAAAAACACATAGTTTCAAACTTTTCATTCGAACTACAGAAATAATTTAGCCAGAAAAATAACTTAAAAGCTTATCAGACATTAATTTTCATTAAATAAAGAACCAATCAAGGACATTTTAAGAATTTCCAATAAAGCAATTTAGAATAAGATAACTAGAATTTTAGATGAAACATTGTGTAAATTTAGATCCTCAGAAAGAATTGCGAACATCCAGAGGTATAGGAGTCAACCTCCACTGAACTGAGTATTTTTGCTTAGCTTGGCAACTTGCCTCAACAGTGGCTTGAGCCAGCCAAACTCCATTGCTGAAAGCTATATTAGAAGTGGGTAGATTCTAGCACCCAAAATAAACTTGCCATCTTTGACGCAAGTATATCTTCAGCATCACGCAGGCGATCTAATTCTTGTCCGCCATCAAGAAAAGCGGGGAGAGAGAGGAGAAAAAAAAAAGTTTAGAGGACGAGGAGGAAAATGGGGAGGAGTTAAATCCTAACAGTGGAAATATTTATTTTTAAGTAATAATAAATAAATTTCTATGTTGCGTCGTAAACAAAACAAAACGTTCCTTATTGGCCGATATTATGAAATAGAATCCACAATAATTAAAATTTGAAATACTCTTTATGACACTTTTAATCTAAATACCACATCTATAAAAAGAAACCGATAGCAGTATTACAAAAATAAGGTTTAACTATTTGTTAGCAGTCCGTGTACTTTAATGTGCTGTTTGAATACTAAATCACTTAAACTAAGTTGTACAATATTTTTATGTAGCTAGTTTTAAAAATTTACAAACTAATGTGGTCACTAATTCATTAAGAATTTTTTAGCGAGGTGATTTTAATGTTACTGATGTCACCGGAGTGCATAAGATTAATGATATCTTTTTTTTTAAAGTCCTTTTATTTTTGGCCCAAGCGATAAAGTTGCCATTATAAGTTCACTGGATACAATAAATTTAATTTTTTTAAAAACCATTTTAAGCTCACGTTTTTTTTTAAATAAAATTTTTAAAGGCGTTTCTTAATGAATCCTACTGACATNTAATGATATCTTTTTTTTTAAAGTCCTTTTATTTTTGGCCCAAGCGATAAAGTTGCCATTATAAGTTCACTGGATACAATAAATTTAATTTTTTAAAAAACCATTTTAAGCTCACGTTTTTTTTTTTAAATAAAATTTAAAAAAAAATACCCAGTCATTGCGAAGTTTAAATACTAAATAAAAATAAAGGCGTTTCTTAATGAATCCTACTGACATCGTCGCTCTACATCTTTTACTTTAATAAATAAATCTATAAAAAGAAATGTAAATATCAATTATTAATTATCTTAACTGAAAACTAATAAATACGATTAAAGCGATCTCAAATGTTGCGACTAAAATGAAAACAAAACAGTATTACCAATAGGTTAAAGTGAGGTTTAATTGATATAGCAAACTGAAATTTTTAAGTTTTTAAAAAATAACTAATACCTTTTCATTCGGAAATTTAAATACTTTGTTAAAATGAAAGCGTTTCCAAACCAGTCCCACGGTCATGACGGGAAGAGACTAGAATTGTATCGAATCTTTTCAAAGCAAAACGTCATTGTCACTCAACGACCACCATTTCAAAAAGCAGAAAGACCATCTTATTACACTGTGCACTGATGCGCTAAAAGACGAACTCTTTATACGCAAACGCAGCTGAAATTACCAGTTTCCCACTTCTACTCTCACACCCCGCTTCGGTCAAGCGAAACGTTCAACCACTACACTACATGAGAGTGGCATATATCATAAATAACTTACATAAATTACAGATAGACACAGAAATAAACAATCTATAAAGACCAGCCATAGCAAACTAAATGGATTATTGAAACATTAATCCGCACAACAAGCAAAAGAAAAAAAAAGCACTGCTAAAGGACATAGATAAAAAAAAAAAAATTTCAAGAGAAGCAGCACCAGACGATTGATTTATTACCCAACATCAAGGCGCTTGAAGATATCAGAATGCGGTGAAAAACAAACAATTATAAGAGCCACTTATGAAACGACAGACATAACAAAATATGAACTGAAAAATCAAGAGGAACTTGTCTAAACTTTCAAATTAAGCTAGTTAGAAAAAGAAATCCAAATTTAAAAATATTAATGAATGACAGTTAACAGAACTGAGAAAATTGCTACGTTTATTTTCAAAAGAGTGCTCTCAAAAAAATTAAGTCACGTTTCGATTGCTCCGTAGTGTATATAATAAAAAGAATATATTAAAATTATAAATAAAATTATAAATTTAGCTGAAATTGATAATACTTTGTATGAAATCGATAATACTTGGTATCTTATTTCATTTCATATGTGGTTCAGAAAAAAAAATTCGTAATCAGGGGTCTGTTTAGAAGAAATTTGGGTCCGTTAACGGACCCTTCACAAAATATCTTTTCATAAAAACGGACCCTTCACAAAATATTTTAACTTAAAAACGGACCCTTCACAAAATATTTTAACTTAAAAACGGACCCTTCACAAAATGATTTTTCTTTTAATCGGACCCTTCACAAATTTGTTTATCTTCATTATTATTTTGT